CAGGATGAAAAGATAATAAGGTTCCAAATATCACCAGTGGAAAGATAATTGTCAGTCCAGTGAAAAAGGTACTACAAGATATGACCTATTTTACTGTATTAATCATATATATAGTTATTGCTGTAAACCACCCAGAAAGCTTTGGCTGCAGGCTGGAAATAATTATAGGAGGAGGAGGAAAGACTTTACGTATGCATGTACTTAAATACATATACCAAATACAAAACCCACATAGTTGTCACCAATCGTTAATACAGCCTAATCCACAATCCAGAAATTTAGGATTCATCCTAAACTGCATTCAAATTTTCCCTCTCCCTGATGGAAGGAGGCATCCTCTGGGGAATAATCAGTCTTCAGTGGATGACACCCTTTTCCTGGGAGGAAATAATTGGATTAAAACCATTATAAGTATCAGTGGAAGCAATAGCAGAGGATCAAGAACAACTGTAAAATATATTTTAAACCACTGTTAAAAATGTAAGAATCCACTAAAACTCTATGGAAATAATAGTGTCTTCATCTGGTATCTAAAAGCTATCAGGGAAGTCTCTGAATAAAATGGGAAGTAGAAAGACTTTCCATGATCAAGACACCACAACTCAATTCTTGTGGTACTAGGGTGTAGTGAAATGTAGATGGTGTATATTTACTTGTTCCCACAAAAATACACTATTTCCTACTATAATTATCATCATTTTAAGGGTTGCTTTTTGGGAAGCACTGAAGCATGAGGTTATTTTAACCACTGATGCCTCAGGGACCTCAGATTGACCATATGCTTGAACATTTTATTGAATAAGTATCATGGATGCTTAGCTTTAAATACAGCAAGACTTTTAGATTTCCCTGTAACTTCATAGCATTTTCAAAAGGCAATGACAGTATAATGTATACATAATTTTTAATGAAATTTTGGTTGCTTAACTACCCCAACACATTTTCAAAATTGTTAATAAAAATAGAGGATCTAGAACAAATATTCTCAGCTATTTTGCACTATTACCAAGATCAAACTAATCCTTTTAATCAACAGACACTGTGATACCAAATTAACAAGAGCCTTGCTTTCATCCCATTCATAAGTTTTTTAAGGCATTTGGTGCTTTTGATAGCACTTCATTTTCATTCAACTGAAATAATGGATTTAATTTTCATTTAATGCATTCATTAAGATTTTCCAGTTTGGAGATCTATGATTCTGGGTTTAGTTGTGTGACAATGGTGATGATGGAAAGTAGTTTATAGGATCATGGAAACAATCAGCACTGAACCAGCACAGAGAAAAATTATCAAACATGCAAATCATGAGGACTTAAGAACATCAGCAGAGACGTGCTAGATCAGACCTGGGGTCTGTCCAGTCCAGCATTCTGTTCACAGTAACCAACCACTACACAAATACACGAACCGGGGCATGACTGCATCAGCACCTTCCCAGTCAATTTTCCCAGCAAGTGCTGAACATTTGGGCATATTGTCTCTGACACTAGAGCTAGCATGTAGTCGTCAGTAGCATTATTCTCTGTGAATTTGTCTTACACCAAATTGGTGGCCTTCCCTACCTCTTGTGGAAATGAATTCCATAATATGCTATTTGAAGAAATGCTGAATATCCCAGCAATCAGCTTCATGGGATATTCTACTTCCAGGTTCTGTTATTATGAGAGAAATGGGAAACTAACCTAAGCCTTAGATATCTTCTCCACATCGCGCACAATGTTGTATACTTACATCATCTTTCCCTTGACTTTGTTTAAGCGAAACAAGCTGTTGTGACATCTCATAGGGCAGTTGCACAACCCCTTGATCTTCTTATTTGCTCTTTTCTGCCCTTATTCCAACTCTATAATATCCCTTTTTAGGTGCACTGACTATAAATGTATTCTAATTGTGGTGACACCGTAGATTTGTATAAAGGGGGTCTGGTATTGGCACTTTTATTTTCAGTTCCTTTTCTAGTTACATCAGCATGGAATTTGCCTTTTTCACAGAAGCTGTCCACTGGTCATTTTTCACTGAGCTGTTACCACATTCCCAAGAGCTCTTTCTTGTCAGTCATCACTAGCTCAGATCCCATCAGTTTATACATGAAGTTGGGGGAAGGGGTTGCCTAAGATGTATTCTGAACCATCTGCATCCCTGTATTACTTTACACCTACTTAAATTGAATCAATGGCTGGTCTGATGCTGATCTTCCAATTTGAAGCTCCTTTTGAAGCTTTTTACAATCCTTGTCTTAGTCTTTAATCACCCAAAATAAATTGGTGTTTCAGAAGACTTGGATACTTTACTGCTTACTTCAAATTTCAAATAATTTAATAATAAGTTTAAAAGCATTGGTCCCAATACAGATACCTGGAAGACTGCTGAGATATGATTCACCTTGATACAAGATTTTTCCTTTAAATGCTCACAAACTTTATCTTTAATAATGCTTTTAGCTCATTTACTCATAGCAGACATTAAGCATATATTCAGTTTGCAATTTCCCCGATTGTCCTAGCTCCCTTTTAAAAAGAATTTGTTACATTGGCCATTTTCCAATCTTCTGATACAGAGGTTCCAAAGTATTTGTTAGAACAGCAATTTCATATTTGTATTCATTAAGAACTCAAGAATGAATAACGTCTGAGCCAGGTGACTTACTAACTTTACAATTGTCAACAATTTACCTCGATTCCTCAGAAGCCCTTTCTGAAAACATCATGTCTGTGGTAAAGGCAAATGAAAAGAATTCGCTCAGCTTCTCTACTTATTCATCTTATTCTCCTTTAGTCCTCCCTTTAACTCAATTGTCATCCAGTGGTCCAGCAACTTCTCTAGCTCATGTCCTGTTTCTGAGATATTTAAACAATGGTTTATCATCGGCCTTGCCATGTTTTTAATAACATGCTCTTCAAAATGTGCTGTTTTGTTTCGTTTTTGCATTTCTTGTTATCTGTCTTCATCTCCTTGTGCAAGGCTGTGCTTCCTTCCCTGCTTCTCCACTCCTTGGGTGAGACTTCCATTTGCTGAAGGCAGTCTTCTTTACTCTGGTAGCTTCCTTGGCACTGCTCATGCTGGTATCCCTGTGGACTTGGAAGAAATTCCATGACAATGTACACCACCCTTCCACTGCCTTCAGCTTTTCCTGCTTCTTATGAGTCAATTGTTTCATAGACTACTTGCCAAAGTTCATTTAGTCCAAACACAAAATAGAAATCTAAAATCTATTGTGATAAAAAGAAATGCATGAGAAATTAGTTTCCTGTTATGGTTTATCAGGTTCACCTAGTTCATACTTTCTGGACCAAACACAGATGTGGACCCAATCTGCCGTCAAAATCCATACATTTCCATGCATGCATGGAATTCACAGACCAAAGTGCGCTTGATAGTATGTGTACATTTGAAAATGTGCATAAATACGCTTTAATAAGAAAAGGAAAAAGTTATGCATAATAAAATTTATATTCCAAAAGCAGTCTTCCCCAGCCTGATAACCTCCAGGCAATTCCCAGTACTTCTGACCTTCCTGGGACAAATGGAGCTGAAATCCAGAACATCTGAAGAGCACCAGGTTGGGGAAGCAAAAAATTGTCCTAAAGCAACACATTGCTTTAAGGGTTGTAGAGCAATTTCAGAAAGTATTGAGTATCTTTCACTACTCCCTACAAGTAAAATGAAATAAATAAAAAGTCCTTTTTAAAACAAAACAAGAAAAAGGTTTCCTATATACACCCACCAGGGCTTGATGTTCCTAACAGTGGTAATACTGGTGGCTTACAAATGAGACATTCTAGGAAGTTTTCTTAAAAGTTTTAAATATCTTCCTGTGCATGACTTCAGGAAAGTAGGGCACAGACAGTATTAGTACTGTCAAAATTGGAAGGAGATGTAAATTTTATTTACTCATTTAAAGCTTTTATGTACTGTTTGGTTAGCATAATGCTCTCAAAACAGTTTACAAAATGTAATTAAAATACACAAAATATTACAATTTAAACTATTTAAAACAGATTTGCCTGCAATAAAACATCTCTATGCAATAAAATGTTTGCAGGCATATAAAAAAACAAATAAACAATACCGTATAAGTAATAACAACTATTCCACATGCACCAGGCAATTTAAAAGCCAGAAAATCAACCATTGAAAGGGCAGGAAAATAAAAAAGTTTTAACCTAGTGCCGGGACATATATAGCATCAGCGCCAGGCATATTTCCCTGGAGTAAAATAGCTAATTGCCCCTACTAGAGTCCTATCATACGGTTTCAGCTGTGCCATCTGTTGCATTAATGGGCAGATTCAGTGCTTAAACGCACATCCTGACTACATTCACCCTATGAAAAATGCGGAGTTTCAGTCTGTACTCTCTTCTACCTTGCAGAATGTGGAGTTGCCAGTGGTGTCCAACATCATGGTTACCAAAGATGTGGAGGCCTTGTCTCTCAGTGTAGTTTTTGTTAGCTTTGAGTTCTGCAGCTGCTGTTCGCCATGATGCCGGATGTGCTTGTGTTGTTCCTAGCCATTTAGATATTCGGCCTGACATGAGAGCCACCAGGGCAGGGACTAGAGCGCCAGCCTGCTGATCTCAGTTGTAAATAACAGTACTTCACGGCTAGAACCAATTGTCAAGACCTTCTCTCTGCCATCTGCTTGAATGACTTCAACATGTCTAAGCTCAACAGAGTGAAGAGGCAAGAAATTATTTTGTAGGATGAAGAGATACCATTACCGCACTCCCTTCTTCTGACAGGACCTTCCTTCTTCATGCTTATGCATCAGTGAGGCATGGCATCCAAATGAGCACCTATCCCTGCGGTGTCAGTAATGTTAATAGGCCGAGGTGAATACAGTGAGAGGTTAATGTATCATTTAGGGGTAAAATGGAGTCCGGAAAATTCCCTGTGTTTACAGCCAGTCTGATGCTTCACTAACTTGTCTCTTTTTCTCCAGCTTGAAAAACAAGTTGTTCATTAGCAAACTTGTTATCTCCTTTCATTTTCTTTTAAAGCAAAGCCTCACTGGGTTCAGCTGATAAAGGATTTTGAAGCTGCTGTAGAGGACAACTTATACTGGGAGTGCAGGGCAAGTGGCAAACCCAAGCCATCCTACAGGTGGTTGAAAAATGGCGAGCCTCTAATATTAGAGGTAATGTTTTGGATTGGTTTACTGGTTGACTGGCTGGCTTGTAAATGAGTGGTTGCATGAAGAGCATTGTTGCATATGGGTAGCCCACAGACTCCACACCAATAATTCAAAAGTCGCATATTTTCATAATGATCTGCCTCAGAGAGTTATAGTAACCTGAATACTTACCAAGCAAAGCAGTGTGCACAATGGGGGCTCCTTATGGGGGCAACTGGACTAAACTGCAGGCTGTGACATGGGGTGAATGACATGGCAGCCTCTCATGGATAAATTAACTATCGAGGAGCTGTGGCACGTGCTGTCTACCATTATGAACCCCCAGCTGGAGATTGCCGTGGATTACCATGTCCTACAAACGTATCCAGGGAGGTTTATGCAAGGGTTAAACAACACTTGCATTGCCCTAAAACAGACTGTGGGTTATGCAAGGGTTATTTAACCCTTGAATAACCCATCCAGATCACATTCCAATGATATAACAAGCCATGGCAACCCCTGGTGGTAGATCACATGTGCAGTGGCCCCTTGAGGGTTAATTAATCAATGATGGGCCATCATGTTGGCCATACTGGTCCTATGTAGTAGTATTCGCCCATGGTATAATTTAGTAGTTTTACTCATGTTCTACCCAGCACTACTAGTTATTTATACCCTTCACTGCACTTACATTTGTACTAGTCAGCTACCATGAAGCATTTATAGCATTTTACGTTCTATAACAATTTCCAGATTATTATTCATTTTTACAGGTTAGAGACCTGTTATATTTGGTACAAAACTGTACTTAGCCAGTTTTTGTAAACTGCCGTGGGAAGGTATTAAATGCAAAATGAGAGAGTATAATCTAGAAATTATTTGAAAATAATAATGAATGGCAGTAATTGAAGGAAAATTTATTTGGAGGACTGGATAGAAAATTGGGGGTAATTGAACAACTCATTTGAGGTCAGTAAGGTGCAAATGAATTGAGAATTTCTTTGGCATGATTTGGATAAGAAATTGTATAAAATGTAAATGCTTAAAGTTATTTCTAACTTGTACCTACACATATAAAAATGCATGTGAAAATGCTCCCATTTGGTGAAGATGCATAAGTTACCACTTCCCTCTTTGTGGAACAGATAAGAAGCAGATGGAAAAGACAGAGCTGCCACCCATTTAGTCAACCAACATAAACTCTGAGCATGACAGTCTCAGGGCACCATCTAATGTGGCTGCTGTAGCCCTCCAAACTCAAAGGATAGTGGTCATCCATCAGACAACAGGAGAAATGTAGAGGTTAAGATTGCTTCCGCGCTCCCTTCACCCTCCGAGGTATTTAGAGGGCCAGTTGTGGCCCTATAAATGTCTACCCATTTATAGAGCCACAACGGAGAGAGCCACATGGAAGAGAGAGCAGAGCACAGCCAGGATTCGGAGCCCCAGCTGGCACAGGAAGAACTGTGCCAATTGCAAGGCCAGAAGGAAGGGTCAGAACTGGCACTCCGGCCTACCACATGCCATCCATGCAATGTCAGAAAGCTATCTCTTCCTGGAGTAGCCATTGACTCCGTTTTGGTATTACTAAGTTACACTGATAATTTTAATTTTCTGCGGAATACGAGTTCATTTGTGCAATTTTCTTATGGTATCCACAACAGTTCCTAGATAATTTCAGTACACTGTAAGAATAGGATTTGGACAAGATTGGATACAATATTGATTAATTGTGTGAATCACTGAGAGTTGGAATCTAGTAAGATCAACCTCAAGGTTATTTTAAATATTCTAAATAGAATATAAAAGCTTATTATGTCAGTAAACATAGTTTTACTCTTAGTGGTCTTGGTTATATTTATCAGTCCTAAAGTTCCTCAAATACATTGTTTCATTGCAATCCTAAAATAACCCCATAAGACAGTTGTTCTCTCCCCAAACCGCCAGCTGTTTGCTGAAACTACCAATTCATGATAGAAGCAAGAATTAAAGGTAGAAGAGACTTCCTCGTCTGCAATTTAAGTCAAGTTATAGCTATGATAATGAATATATTGGCTGTATCACTAAACATGGTAGTTGAAAGACTGGATGTGATCCAGAACCCACACAGCATATGATAAATGAGTGTGCTTCAACTCCTTCAATGAATCCCCTCCATCAGTGAATGTATCTTTGCACTGCCATTGTCTTTAGCCACTCCTGCTCCTCATCACTGGTACCAGTTTTTCAGTGGACTGGCGGAGAGCCAGTGAGCAAGCAGGCAATAACATCTGCTTACCATCTTCTCATTGCCAGTGTTGTCTGGGCCAGAGCAAGAGACAGGTGAACAGTTGGTCAGGTTGATAAGGATGAAGGGCAATTCCAAGGAATTTTGGTTAGAGGGCCCCACTAACCTCTGGTGCCCAACAACCACGCAGATCCTTGATGTTAGCCCTAAATGCACACCAAGTTGCATTCTAAGTCTTCACTCTGAGGAAGCATTTTTTCATTTGTGATTTTTCTTTCCCTGCGAAAAAGACTTTGTAGAAGTAGACATGCTTGTAAGTACCACATGTAAAGTAAGATGATCCCGGGATTGTTAGAAATATAGACTGCAATGACTTAAATCCAACTCAATTTTCTCAGAATTTGAAAGAGGATTTTCAAAGCTGATGTTACAGTTTAAGGTTTATGTCTGCAGGGTAGCCCCATAAAGCTCTGTATCTCATAAAAGGCATTATTATTACATTACTCACTTTCGTCAGAACATGCCAGAAACTCTGCAGTTGACTTAGTCATCAGTTAAGCTGTGTTTAAACTCTTCAAATTAGATTCTGTAAAGGCATGGGTTATAGCTTTACAACTAAAATACCTTCCTTTGTCTGTTTTATCAGTCACTTAACTGGTATATACATTTGTAACTTTTGCTTCTCTTGTCCAGGGAAGGATACAAATTGAAAATGGTGCTTTGATCATAACAAACCTAAACTTGACAGATTCTGGCATATATCAGTGTATAGCAGAAAACAAGCATGGCACAATATATTCCAGCGCTGATCTCAGAGTCATAGGTGAGTTTTAGCATTCCTATCTGTATCGTTATTATTGTTAAATAGATATTTTCCCCATGCTGCAGTATCTTTTCTGGTTTTCCTCCAAAACATGGGAAAATTAAAAAATAAAAAAGTGCACAGCAAGCCACTTCATATCTGCATTGCTAAGTAGTTTAGTTACCTACAGCTGGAGGATGTGTGTATTTTGCAGTACAATCATTCACTGCTTTAAAAGAAGGACACCAAGATAAATTATTAATTAAGGGGAGAACAGGGAGCACTGAGAAAAGGCTTGGATGCAGGCCTAGAGATTAAAACTAATCACACAATCTGGAAGCAACATTGGCCGAGCGCATTACTCAATAGCACTGACCTTCTGCATCAAGGCTCTGGTGTTCCTGGGAGAAAAATGTCACTGAAAAGCAATAAGGTGAACTATTCCTTGATTATGGGCACAGAAGCCACTCACTTAGTCCTGGTGGTGATGCCACCTTGCCTGTAGGAGCAAATGGCAACCACTTCATAGCAGAGCGCTGAACTGGCTAACCTGGGAAATTCAGATGGGAAGCATCCTTTCTCATCAATAAGGCCAGGTGAGAGAAACCTGCAGATCTGCTGTATGGTGTTTTACTGTATTTTGAAATGACTACCACCATTGTTCATTGTTAGAATTTACTGCAGTTGTAGACGCAATGAAATAAGCAGCCCAACTAGCCACTCTAATGAACAGGGTGAGCAACAGTCAACATCTGAGCTCTATCTAGTCGGTTCAAGTGTTATTCCACTCTTCATCAGTAACATAATCTGCTCAGTACTGGCTGATTATATTCCATATAAGGAAGTATATGGAACATCTGAATAAAATCTTTTGGTGATCTGGGGAATCAAGCTACATGCCTTACAATTTGTGCAATAGCTACCCATATAAGTGGAATGTTCTACTCTGTGTTTTGGCCAACTTGATTTCTCTCAGTCCTAACTGGAATGTTCTGCTGCAGGAACAGAAAGCCTACAGGGGTCAATCTAAATAAAGGGTTTAATTATCACATCAACTGTATAGTTATCAGTTTGCAAGCTTTTCATACCGAAATCAGCTCCTGACATTGCAATACTGAATCAGTTTGCACATGTCCATATTGGTCAGCAATCCTGAGCCCCAAGTTAAGCTAAAGGTGGGTTGACATTGCGGCATTATGCATGGTCCTGTTGTCCTTTGAGTCTATTGTAAGCTGTACATGGCTAGAGACGACTCTTTCACCCTCATTTTTTGCCCCTCCCCATGCGCGTTGACTCAAACTATTCCATCTTTGTCTGAAGAAGGCTGGCCTGGATGTAGGAAACGGGTGTGGAGTGCACTTGAAAAATTTCCAGTGAAACACTTTACTGAAATTGGCAATGGAGTATCTCCACCAGAAACATTTAGGAGCATTTTTAGACCCATGAGGCTCCAGCAATAATCAATTCTATAGTGCCTGAAGTGGAAGGTTCCCCCCTGACTGACACACACACTGTCATGATATGATTTCAAGTAGAAATGCAGCTACTTATGTTCGTTTACTCTAAAATACCAGGGATGTAGAAGACATAGAATGGCATAAGAGCATTAAGCCTAGGATTTAAAATTACCTATTGCATCACTATCATCTGGTTCCTAATTTAATTAAAGTAATGCTGCATCATCTAGTATTTGAATATGCAGAGCAATAAGATTTCAAATGTCTTGTACAAGAAGTATTTTAAACTCCACCTAAAGCCTAGATCTTTTCATTTGTTAAGCAGGAAAAGTCAATCATTTTCCTTCTGCGTTCCTGGAAATTGCCATTCCAGAAATACCCAATTCTTTTGTGATTCTGTAATGAAGACTACAGGCTGGAGAAAGAGAGACAACTAGCATAACTGTTTTCCCAGGGAACCAGTTCAGCACCCTTTTCTTCAAATACAGTATTGTAATTACTTAGGACTGGGCCCTGATTTGTGTTTGTAGCAAAGTGCTTGGGACCAGCTTTCATTGAAATCATGTCTCTTCTTCCTCTAGGCCCCATACTAGGCAACTAAAGTAAGAATGTGGTGGTGGGGTCATCTTATTATGCTAATGGTTATGCAAATTAGTCTTTATGCAGTTTCTTAAATGGAATTCATAAAAACCCCTGAAGTAAAGCCAGTGCCTCTGAATTCCATTTCCTGGAAAGCACTAGCAGAAGACCATTGCTCTTATATTCTGTGTTGGGGCGTCCAATAAGCAGAACATTGCTCCTTATAAGAACCAGGAGTTGGACCAGATAGTCCTTTGGCCTGCTTCAGCGGGCTTTTGTTATGTTCAGTGAAGTGAGCATGAAGCATTTGCTTAATTCTGCCTGACTTAAGGGTGCTATTTCTTTTCAATTCTTAATGTGCTGAACAAGGATAGTAATGTTTAAATATTCAGTGATTAAAGGAATGAATGAAATAAATAGAAACTTAGGAACCCACAAAGGACACAAAGAAGAAGTTGTGTTTCATAGTTAATATGTTTTCTTCTTCTGCTAGCTTCTGCTCCTGATTTCTCCAAAAACCCAATGAAGAAACTGATTCAGCTTCTAATGGGAAGCACAGCTCATTTTGAGTGCAAGCCAAAAGCTTCTCCTAAAGCGGCAACTATTTGGAAAAAGGGAGGTGAGCTCCTCCAAGAAAATGAAAGGTATTATGTTAATTGTGAATGTTTTCATATTACTATAATCAGTTTCTGTGCCAAGAAAGCAAATATAACATATACTTTTTATCTCAGAATAAGGAGGAGTAAGGAGCCAATAGGGCCACTCCTCATTGCTGGGCTCTTTATATATTTATTCATTTTATTTATATGCCACTCATTAGCCACAGCTCTCTGGATGGTTTAGAAGACAAAACTTAAAATCATAAAATAGAATAGCATAGTAAAACAGAATATTTAATGTAAATTTAAAAGAGAATAAAATGAAAGTGGTATCCAAGAGGAATGCCAATGGCAGTGCAAAGTTCTAAAAAGTCATTAGTGTGATTTTTTTTTTAAACTGAAGAGGTAAAAAGACTGGGAAAATCAGAAGAGCTTCAGTTTGCCATGAAAATACCACAATATGCTGCCAGGTGAGCTTCTGCAACTGTGGTGCCACTAGTAAGAAGCCCTTGTCCTTAGTAATCATCTGCCTCAGCTTATTTGTAAAGGACTAACAGAGAAGAGTCTTGGAGGATTATTTTAGGACTAACTTATCCCTACACCATTTAGAGTTCTGTAAGATAATACTAGCACTTAGAATTTGACACAGAAATGAACTGGTAGCCAGTACAAATTACACAAAACCAGTCTAAGGTGATCATATTCACCAGTCCCCATTAACAGTGCTGCTTCTCTATTTTGAACCAACTCAGGCTCCAGCCTAATTTTCAAAGGCAGCCTCACATCTAATGCACTGCAGTAATCCAGATGAGGGGTCACCTGGGGATGGATAATCGCAGAAGAATATCTCTGTCCAGTTAGGATAATAACTCATATGTCAGCCTAAGCTGATAAAACGTGCCGTGTGTCACTAAGGCCTCCTGTGCCTCCAATGACAAGGCTGATTTTAACCCCCCCTCTATCCCCGGCTATGTAACTGGCCCTTTAGGAAAAGAACAACTTCCAAAAAAGGTTGAATATCATTCCCTAATATATATTAAGGAATCCTGGGATGTCACTGGAAGGTCACAGTCAACCTCAAGAGCTAAGATCCCTGCCACATGCCTAAATAGCAAGACGGGGGCACATCAGATCTCTTCTACTTCAGAGAACTTTTGGATTCACCAAAATAACACCCAAGACCACTGAAATGTGTCCCTCCCTCCAGATGCTTGGTGTTTCCTGGTTCTATCATTAGAAATAGTTGTGTTTGGCTGTTCAGTAGAAGTGCTGCAACTCTTCAGACCTTCCCATATATTACTATTATTATTATTATTATTATTATTATTATTATTATTATTATTATTATAACATTTCTATGCCGCCCCTTGCCGAAACCTCGGGGCGGCTTACAACATCCTGTCTTAGAAATGCTTGAAATTGAATGAGGCTTGTGTGGGGGAGGAAGGCAATATTATGCTTGCATATACATAGTCATATGTGTAATGAGGCATATGGCCCATTGGCATTTCCTGGGAATGCATTCAGATTCCCAGATCCAAGGACCACAGAGCTTGTAATCTTGTTCTGTTTCCCCTCCCCATCACTGCCAGTGTGAAAAGAACTGTGAGAGCTGTTTCTCCAAAACTGGGAAATTGACTTTGGAGAAATGATAAAGGGGACAGACAGGGAAGAGGGTGGAGCTCTTGGGACATGTCATATCCTGATGGTGCTTCAGCCTCCTTTCCTCCCCATCTGAAGCACCTCAGATAAGCAGCCAAAACTGGCCATTAGCTGAAATGAAGAGTGGCAGGTGCAGGGAGGCAGCACTCACTCCCACCACTTCCTCCTCTCTGCCTTAATGCTCATAAATGTCCAAATGCAATGTTTCAGAAGCACCTGGTCGCTGCTTCAGGTAGTAGTGGGAGGGTGAAATGACTTGGGAAGACAACAGGTGTGAACAAATGTAGGCATAGTTTGGGGGGGGCAGAATTAAAAATTTAGGACAAAGGCTTTCCAGAAGACATCAATTTTAGACTGGATTGGAAGGAAGTAAATTTTAACATCAGCTTAGGTATAAGTGAAGTGAGAGATTTGCTCATTCTGCAAAAGCTGTTGAATTAATGGTTAGTGTCTTGTTTCTGTCATCCTTTACTTTCTAGTTAACCAGTCCAAAAGATCTGAGTCAGAATAACAAGGAATTAAAAATGCTTCCCTGCTAGTTTCTTTATTTTCCCATTTCTAAAGGCCAGTTCTTACCATTCCTTTTCTTACATGGGCCCCATTTACCTTGCCTGACTGATACACAAGTGTTTGATCAGTAGATTGTATCAGTCTTTCCCCATGAGTTCTTGTTCACCTGCTCATCAATTACATTTTCCTCCTCTTCAAGCTGGGGAAAGTTAACACATTTCTCTGCATAGCCTAAAATGAGAGGAGGCTTAAAGCAACAGAACCAGGTTTACCACGCAAGCCTCCATTCTAGTTTGCTAGTTGTGGGGGCAGAGGAGAGACAGCAAGAAACCCATATTAACCAAGGTTGTGACGAAAAGTCAGTATATATAGTCTTTATGCTTTCCATAGATAAGTATGATCAGGAATTCACAATGTAAAAAAGAAATAAAGGGTGAGGTTTTGTCCTGACCTGCTCAAGCAACACTATTTATAGGGCACAATGAATTGAGGCAGCAGACAGCCCTCTCATTTAAGCAGTGCAGCCTCCTCCTGTTTCAGGGACCCAGATATAGTCAGCTTTGTTAACTCAACAGAGAAGGAAACAGGAGCCTTTTAACTGCCAGAAAAGTGCAATACTGACAGACTGGGCAATGGCGTATTGGCATGATGTGTGGTTCTCCTTTCATATTCTTCAATGGGATCACAGTAGAGCTGAAGTATGGACTGTTTGCAACAGAACAGTTGTCTTTATGCACAGATATTCTCACTGATACTGTTAGATTCTATGAAAACTGTTTCTAGAGCAAGTGAAGGATGTATGAAACTGTGTATTCCGGTGGACTTTTCAGCTTTGCCCACCCACATTCTTACTTCATAGGAATTCTGCAGAATGACTGATATACTTACTTTTTTCAGACATTTGTGCACATATTTTTTTCTTTTTTAGCCCATGGAACAGCTGGCTAATGCATTCTTTCTAATACGAATTATACCGGTAGTCCAGTGAATACACTTTGACTGGTTCTAAAAGGGGGTTCATGTTCTTAGGCAAATTGGAATATACATCCCATTAAGATGAATAATGCAGTAAATAGCCAGCATTTGGTTGCAGATTTCAATATATATTCCATTCTGCATTCTGGTGAACATTCAGCTCCTATTTTTCCCTTACCTCCCTTGGGAAAGGGTTGGTGTGTCCAATATATAAATCAGATAAATAGTGGAGCTATTGTGTTCAAAATTCTGTATATTGGGAAGAAAGCGGTATTTTTCTCCCTCTCTAATTGTACTGGTACTTGGGATCATTGAATGAAGCTAAATAAGGAAAGATTCGGGATAGACAAAAGGAAGCTAACTTATGGAATTTGGTTCAATAAGTTATGGTGACGGTCACTAACATAGACAACTTTTAAATGGTACAGTAGTACCTCAGTTCACGAATGCCTCAGTTCACAACCAAATCGGGCCGTGAACAGAAATTTCAGAAAAAAATTGTCTCAATTCGCAAACTCCACATTGAGTGATGACCACGATCGCAGCCGTGTTGCTGCACGAACACTATCGCACCTGCGATCGCACCTGTCTCCCCCCACACGAGCGCGCCCACGAGCGCGCCCTGTCTCCTCCTGCAGCACGATCGCTATCACACAATTATGGTTTGGACTTTCCTTCCAAACAATAATCTCCCCCCCGCACCTAGGTTAGTGTTCTCTACTGTACTGTACTTTGTTGTTCTTTGTTAGTTTGTTTCAAATTTTTGTGATTAAAAAAATATTTACAGAACGGATTAACCTTATTTACACTGAACCTTATGGGAAAATTTGACTTAGGTCACAACCAATTTGGGTCACAACCAGAGTCCTGGAATGAATTAAGTTCGTGAGCTAAGGTACCACTGTATTATAAAAATGCAAGAAGGATACAGCCATCAGAGACTACTAGTCATGATGGCTACAGAGTACCTCCAGGGTGAGGGACAGCATGCCTCTGAATACTACTGGTGAAAACAGTAGCAGAGTGATTATGCCTTGTTTCTGGGTGCTGCTGAGACATCCAATTGGCTGCTATTGGGATTGCGATGATGGACTGGAGAGGGCCTTGGGACTTCTTACAATCCCATGACAAAAGTTTGGGATAACCGTACGGTATCTGTATGAAAACAGAGCATGGTGCAGTTGTAAACTATGTAATATGATTAAGTTGGCCTTATCATTTCAAAGTGTGATTTCCTTGATTGCATGTTTATGAGTTTTGGTTACAGCTCTTAGCAAAAATAAGGGCAGTGAAATTGTAGAGGAAGCCATATAAGGCAGGAAAGTAGGTTTCGACAGTTAAGGCAGCCTGTATGTAATCTGCATTTACGTACATACAGTGCTTTTTTTTGTAAAAAAAAAAAAGGTGCTGGAACTCACCTCTTGGGGTCAGTCACTCTACACACACATAAACATAATGGTCGCCGCCGGCAGTAAGCACTGAGCGCGTGACCACACCACCAGTCCCAAGCTGAGCAGCGTCCCGAGCCGACCAGCGCCCTCCCAAGCAGCGCCGACACACACGCAGCCCACAGGAACTATTTTAATGCATTTTGCTGCCGACAGGGCGATTCACAATCACATGGAAAAATCTGTCAAAAAAAGGTGCCAGAACGGCGTTCCGGTGCGTTCTATGACAAAAAAAGCCCTGCGTACATATATGAATATGTGCATATGTGCACACATGCTTCACTTTACCTAAAGAACTTTACTTATTTTTGGTACCAGGCACAGACTGTCCCGCACTGCAGGGCATTCAGTTAGTTACTGGGTCTGCTAGTTGTTAGACAGGTCTTAATAGGTTTGTTTCAACTTGTTACAGTTTTTCTGTTTTAAATTTGTTTGAAAATGTTATATTCA